ACGGCTATCGATGCTCTCGCATGGATATGATCTTTGTATTCCTAATTCGCATATTAAGCGAAAAATTTATTGAAGGTTTCAAACTTCAACCTGATTCTGTTAGCAAGGTCAGTGACCTTAAAGCAAAGTTAAACAATATACCACATTCCTACGTAGGTACTCCTGTTTCCTTTTGTGAATCAATGTGGAACAGAGAACAATATCAGGTAATTAAATCATTTCGACGTAATAAGTCTTTATAATTATTAATTATAATTAATTGATGAAACCTGATAAAGGCTCTGGTGTCGTCATTCTTGATTATCAAGATTATGTTAACAAGATGATGACTATTCTTGGGGATTCCTCTAAATTTGTCCAGTTAGGCCCAATAAATAAATTTGATTCTTCATTATCTATTGAGCCTAAGTTCCAAAAACGTCTAGTCATGTGGATTAAAAGTAGGAAATTTCCCATTGATATTTCCAATCAAATTAGACCCTCGGGTTTTATTCGTCACCGTCTTTATGGTCTACACAAAACACACAAAGCTGGGGTTCCATTGAGACCTAGTCTGTCCATGGTAGGATCTTCCCAACATGGCGTCGTTAAATGGCCTATCGCCATATTACGGACAGTTTTGGAACTCTTCCTTTATTAAAGATTCGTTTGAATTTTCCGACTTTATGCAGCGTTATTCGTCGACGGATAAATTTATGTGTTCCTACGATATTTCCAGTCTGTTTAACTGCGTCCCTCTTTCTGAGACTATTGATATATGTACTTATGCCTTATATCGTAGTCAGTTGTCCCCTCCTGTTATTCTTGAGGATGTTTTTGTCGACATTTGCCACGACGTCTGTTGAATTTAGTTTCGACGGCATCATGTATAGGCAAATTTATGGTGTTTCAGTGGGTTCCCCTTTGGGACCCAACTTAGCAAACAACTTTGTTCGATTCCATGAAGAGATTGTGTTATCTAAATCTAATAAGCCAAATGTTTACATCCGCTACGTTGATGACACTTCTTGTCTCTTCGATAACGAGATTGAAGCGGACCATTTTCTTTCGTCCCTGAATAATATGCATCCAGCTTTAAAATTTACACAAGAAAAGGAAATTGATTCTTCTCTTTCCTTTCTTGATGTTTTGGTTAGCAGATCTTCGTCGGGTTTTCTTACATCTGTTTATCTTAGACTGACATTTACCAGTTTGTATAACCGTTGGGATTCTTTCAGTCCCGTAAAACGTAAAATCAACTCAATTAAAACCCTTACTCATAGAGCTTTAATGATCTGCTCTAAAACCAAATAGAATGATGAACTCAAATTTATTACCACTACTCCCTGTAACAATGCCTATCCTTTGGGCATTGTTTAATCAATAATTAAGAACAGAATTGCTGAATACAATAAAGTTAAGCCGGCTACAGTACGGCTGGGTAATATCAGTGATAGATATGCTAAGCGGATTTCCTTGGCGGTTCGACATTGTTACTTTGCTGCTAACACTCGTGTAGTCTTTTCTGCCAAGCCTGTCCTTCCAATCACGCGGAAAGATGTTCCCCTTTCACATCATTATTATTCATTTAAATGTGGTTGTGGCTCATACTACATAGGGAGAACGACTCAAAGGTTGGGTGCCACAATAAAGCAACAGATCTCAACAAAGATCTGCAATTCTAACTATACGTCTTCAGACATTCTGATCAATACATACGGATCTTCCATTGCAGATCACCTAATAAATAGCCGTAATTATGCCGTTAATTTCAGTTTTACTATTCTTAGTAAGTCCCACTCGAATTACCACTTAAAAGTGTTGGAGGCCATTTATATTTTGTCTTTGAAACAGTCACTGTGCAAACAGAAGGATTTCGTACTGGGCCTCCAACTAATTTCCATCTAAGAATTTTTTCCAATATATATTGTCCATCTCCTTTTAGTGAAAATTCTATAAAACCTCGATTTAGCTCTGTTGAGCGAGGTTCGAAACTAGTTAGCAAGCTCGTTTTTCAGTTATATCTTTTACTTATTATCGTCATGAGTGGTAATAAATATAAATGTTGTCTTTTCATGGCGGTCATTCATATATATATATATATATATATATATATATATATATATATATATATATATATATTGTTTACGGATGAGGCAAGATTTGGAAGTGATGGAGTAACAAATTTAAACATTCAACATTTTTGAGCAGATCGGATTCCCATGGTACAATACAAGCTAAACACCAGCATCAGTTTGCGATTAATGTGTGAGTTGGAAATGTAGGCGAATGTCTGGTAGATACACGTGTTCTCACAGCACGTCTTACAGGAGATGTCTACAAGGACATTATTTTTAACGCACTTCTAAACCTGCTTGAGGATGCATCCCTGCTCTTTTGGATTAATGCTGTGAACGTTGGAATTTATATATTACTTTCGTTCTCATCGCATCGGATATATATATATATAATGTTTTATATGCGCAGGACTTAGTGAAAAGGGCTCAGTATCAGTGATAGAGCTAACATACTAACAGGGTCACAAACTAATATCCATACAACTGAATATATAATATATATATATATATATATATATATATATATATATATATATATATATATATATAATGAAATGAAACAGTTACCTCCCTTGTACTATGGAGAAAAAACACATGAATTTTGAATTTGAAGTCTAGAACTCTGCATAACGCAGTAAAACGAAGAGCTGAAATGTTTTGAATTTACAGAAATACATACACAAATTCACGTACAATTGAACCCCTTGAAGATGGTCTCAGATGAGATTGAAATTACTTGGGAAAATAAAAATTATTTGAAAGAAAATGTGGGTATTTCTCTTAATCAATTTTCAGAGGTTACTAGAAATTAATCCGTGAACTTCAAAGGATGAAAACCAAAATAAATTGACATCATATATCTAAATTATTTAGAAAACCTGTTTGAATATATATATATATATATATATATATATATACATATATATATATATATATATATATATATATATATATATATATATATATATATATATATAGAGAGAGAGAGAGAGAGATAGAGATAGATAGATAGATAGATAGATAGGTGTATAGATATATATATATATGTATATATATATATATATATATATATATATATATATATTCATTTCAATTTAAAACCCCCTCGAATATATTTATATATATGTATTCGAGGCGGGGGGGGGGCTTGAAAAGTTCTCGAACTAACCAATTAGTCTTTCTCCACAAATTATGATATATAGTTTTTTGAGAAATTAACTGTAGCAAAATCTCGTCTTTAGCCCAAAACGAAAGAAAGAAAAAAGGACGAGACAATAAAAAGATGATAGCATGTTGCCAATCTAGTCTTATTCATTGTCTCATCGTTTTATTGTTTCGTCGTTTTATTTTCTGTCAATCATAGTTCGCCTGAATTGATTCAGTCAACGTACCATGGAGGAAAGTTCATTAGAACAGTTGCCATTAACACTTAATTCGGAAATTAATGTGTACATTTCAATTCACAAAGAAGTCTCTACTTTGATTAAAGACAATATTTCAAAGTTGCAAAGATTTTTTTCTATTTTCTATTTTCAAGGAGAGTTTAGACTTTGTGCGCTTACGTTGTATTTATTTGTCCGCATCGAAGATGTTTGTACAATTTTGTGGGAAATTCATTGTGCAATTATCTTTTGTCTTATATTCTCATTGGACCAAATTGTTCCATTCACTAATAAATTCTACACCTGATGCTTACAAGTTTTTCGTTTCTCCTTGAGTCTCATGTACGTGATGAAGGGCTGACGTTTTCAAGATTCCATTTGAAATCTCACTTTTTACTCAGAGGCTTGTGTCCTTGTTTGCGTTATTATAATAAGATTTAACCCTCAACCCATGAATATGTTCCAACTGATATCGTTCACTTCTGAAACAAAGTATGAAAACTGACGGTGATTGGTTTTAAGAATATCTCAATCCTTGTTGCCTTATTTAATGTCCAATTTTTGTGTGAGGCATCAAGTGAAAATCAAACTCGCTACTCAGTAGTAGTGGTTAATGAGTTTCGCTTCATTAACAATTACCTTACGGAGAAGTAGCATTTTTTAAAGAATTAACCGCAAGCAAGGCGGGAGTGCCACTAGCGAGCAATGGGGTTGCAGAGGATTGAGAACAAGAGTAAGGAGGCGTGTTTGAGGAAAGGATACGGGGAACAAGATCAAAGTATCAGAAGATGTCGATTGACATTACACTTGAATATTTGAAGATTATAGTTATCAGGGAAGCAAATAAGAGGAAGAGAATTCCACAGACGGGAAGTGCGAGAGAAGAAGCTGTTGGAGTAGACGAGACGGTTACATTTAACCGTTTCGACAGTGAAAGGGTGGAACTGAGATGCCAACCTAGTAGCTCGCTTAAATTCATGAAGTCTGGGAACCGGAGAAAGGAACTCGTCAGATAAGTTGCCATGAAAATACTTGTAGAAAAGACAGAGGAAAGCCACGGCACGTCTGTGAAAAAGCGACTGTAGACGAAATGCCAGATCAGGACCTATCACATTGCATATTCGTCTCTGGATTTTGTCAAGAACCTCGAGACGTACAGCGGGAGCACCAGACCATATATGACAACAATATTCCATGCTAGGATGGATGGTTGATTTATAGATTTGAAGGATGTACTCAGACGTGAAAAACTTTCTGGTACGACACAGAGAACCAGCTTTCCTTGCGGTAGATGAAGCTATTGATTCAATGTATTTGTTCCACCACATATCAGCGGACAGGGTGAGACCAACCAGGCGTAACAAGGCGCTCTTGAGGATTTGGACATCCGGCATTCTGATGGGAGGCAGGGAGGGTTCTCTGTGGTGGGTAAATGAGAACAGTTTCTGTTTTGGTGACATTAAAGTTTACAAGCCATTTCATGCCCCAGTCAACCACAGATTGGAGCACGGAAAATAATCAAATGGAAGAGACAAAGAGAAAGCATAAATCAGAAAAATTCTTACGGCCATATCACGTAGAAACATTGGTTTCCCATACGATAACCGAAGTTAAGCAACGTCGACCCTGATTTCTACCTAGATGGGTGACTGCTTGGGAATACCAGGTGCTGTAAGCTTGGATGTGCAGTTGATCTATCTATCTATCTATCTATCTATCTATCTATCTATCTATCTATCTATCTCAGCCTGTTCATATCTATCTCCCTAGTGATATCACGTTAAAACGCTGCTTCCCGTACGATAACCGAAGTTACCCATCTAGGTACAAATCAGGGTCGACATTACTTATGTCGACCCTGATTTGTACCTAGATGGGTGACTGCTTGGGAACACCAGGAGCTGTAAGCTTGGATGTGCAGTTGATCTATCTATCTATCTATCTATCTATCTATCTATCTATCTATCTATCTATCTCAGTCTGTTCATATCAATCGCCCTAACTTACGGTGATATCACGTTAAAATGCTGGTTCCCGTACGATTAACGAAGTTAAGCAACGTCGAGCTTGGTCAGTACTTAAATGGGTGTCCGCTTGTGAATACTAGGCGCTGTAATTATGGATGTGTGGATGGTGTAATGTATAACGGCTAACGGTTTAATATTTAATCGGAGAACCTAGTTCGATTCCCGTTCGGTTCGTTATATTCACTTTCGCGTGAAAGATATGAATCCACCTCTTCTCCACCCCCCACAGCTAACAATCCTTTATGTGATCTAGTGAATTTATTATTTGATACTGAATGAAACTAAACACGTGGCTTTTACCCGCGCTACGCGCATAAGTAGCTTTCAGTTACTTGTTTTCAAAAATCTTTTGCTCTGCGATATCCAGTTAATTATTATTTAAATTACACGGTATTATCACGTGATATTCACTGGTAATCAAGTGACAATAGGTCTTCAGCATTCTTTTCCATATTCTAGTTGGTTCTAATGTTGACTGGATACTTTCTTTCCGTTTTTTCCAAATTCATTTCAAGGCTTCAACCTTTGTCTATAATTAAGGTAGTTTTGGTTTAGTTGTTTTTATTTAGCGGCATATCGATACTTCTATGGGTTATTTAATGCCGAAGTCTAATTATTTACTATGCAAGTTTATGCCTGCAAATACAGATATTTTACACATAATTTTAAACTTTCAGGGCAAACGTACATTTTATTTTAGATATATAGTTTGTAGATAAAATGTATTGCTGATAATTTTACTATAAAATAAATCTTTTACTTTAGTGCTGTATTGATTAACATTCTTCTATAAAAATGTATTATTACACTTAGTGAACCACAAAAAATAAATAAATAAATAAAAACACTATTTTCCCATACGTAGGACCCCAACAGGCGCTACCACCCCCGGATCAGGGTGAACCTGAGAACGACAGCAATTAAGAGGTGGTTTTACGCTCCTTAAAACCTGCAATCTGTCGATCAGAGGCCTTGGGGCAGGATGTAGTTTATAGTCATAGCAATGACTACTATAATTAAGTACATAGTAATAACCTTCATCTTATAACATTTTCTTTTTCAGTTATCTATCTATCTATCTATCTATCTATCTATCTATCTATCTATCTATACACATACACACACATATGTGTATGCATGTGTGTGTGTGTGTGTGTGTGTGTAGTCGTTAGTCGTTTTCCTGCATTCATTGACCAAGCAGCCAGCAGTGCTTTCGGTTGAAATTAATGAAATCTTTCTCTTATTTTCTTTTAGAAAAAAAAGGCTTCTGACGTCCAGTATTTGTTACCGTTTTTTCACAAGTATTCAAGGGGCTTCCTTCCTAACATTTTATTTCAACTAGTGTGGAAAGTTTACATCTTGATTATGTCATTATTATCTCTTCGAGTTACATATGCTATCCATTTTAGCTGTTGCTGCTGTTGGGATTCTTCAAGTGATGTGCTTACGTTAATTTGGTACAGTTCTTTGTTTGTGATTCTGTAGCGCCAGTTCATAATCTACAAAGAAGAATGATCTTTGCCAAGACTATTAGGCTTCGCTCGCTCAATTAACCTTTTACACTATTGATTTTAGAAAGCTGTTGTATGAAGCTGACCATTTAGATATTTGTGAACGTGTTTGGCGCCATTTGAAAGGCTCGATCTAATGAGATTATTTAAGACTATAACTCGAGTTTTAAACTAATGTTTTGGTTTCTTAGCAATATATATATATATATATATATATATATATATCAGAAGTAGTAGGGGCAAAAGTTTTGAAAGAGTTCAAAACCAACCACTACACCCACTTGGGGGGACATTTATAAGTAAGATGCCCATCGAAAAAACGAAAAGTCATTTTCAACACAAATCGATTTCAACACAAATTTTAAACTAAAAACTCTCAATTTTTAAGCAATGACTTGATTGTTTAACAGTCATTTAACTTTATAAATGAGTCCACCCATGTAGTGAAAACCTGCGTAAATAGCGAGAAATGGCGATTTTTACTGATTTATTTCTTATTTTTTGGTGATCTTTCAATCAGTTTTCATCAAACATAACAATTGCTTCATAAATGTATCTTTTTTAATCCCTTGTAACACACTGACAAATTGATTTTCAAAAACTCCAAAATAATTGTAGTCTGAAGTGGGTCTTCATGTTTCCCGTTTTACCCCTTCATGTCCTCGGCTAACTTCGATTGAATAAATACAGACTACTTCTGTTATATCAGTAACTGCATTAATTCAAAATGTTTTTAATGAAAGTACTTTAAAGTAATTGAAGAAGATAAACTCTGTTACATCTAAACATGATGCTGTTTTTGCTCCATTCTAATTGAACGCTTTTTCTGATTGACCACCTTGGTATGGCTGCAAGTTAAAAAATGAATGGAGCACTGTGGCTGCTTGGCGTTTGTTTACGTTTGCAAAAACAATACGCTAGATTTGGCTAACTCATTCTGTCGAGTGAAGATAGCTCTGTCTGACACCAAATCGGTTGGGTTTCGATCCGGGCTTGATGCATTCGGTTGTCTAGCCGCACCGAGGAGCTGTGATACAGTGAAACAGTACTGTCTGCGAATGACATAATTTAGCTCTTGAAAATATATTTTCAATTGAACACTGCTGAATAACAAGCTAATTCTAAAAACAACGGCCACCTGCGTGAATGCGAATCTCTTCAGTAAAATGAATGGAGCACTAAGGATGCTTGGCGATTGTTTACGTTTGTAAAAACAATACGCTAAATTTGGCTAACTCATTCTGTCGAGTGATGATAGCTCAGTGGTAGAAGCTCTGACTGACACCAAATAGTAATATATATTACGCTCTCGTTATTCGATCGAGCACTATAAAAAAAAGTGTAATTTCAAAACAGTAGCCGCCACCGCTATTAAGCGCCGCTCATCAGTAATCAATTGATCCCTCTGGCGGCAGGCGTTTGTATACATCCGTATATAATACGCTAAAATTTCCCTTTCTTTGCCGTGCGCCGATAACTTAGGGGTAGGATATCTGACTGATGCCAAATCGGTCGCGTTTCGAACCCGGCTTGAAGCAATCGGAAGTCTGGCCACACTGATGAACTGTTATACAGCGAAACAGGCTTGTAGAATCATGTGGATGACCATATATATATATATATAATAATAATAAAATTTTCAGGTATTTTATATGTGTAGGTAAAAAAGATAGAGCGTATGTAAATATAAAATATTAAAGTGGACACTGAGGTCAATGTCATTCCTCTCATAAGTACAAGTAAATGTAATAATAATAATAATAATCAACAATAACAACAAATAAGTAATCAATAATTAGTAACGAATAAAAAATTTTACAACACTATACAATAGCTACAAATAACCGCGGATCCACAATTATTCCTACTCAATAGTCTCTAGAATAAGAAACGTAAACGTTACCGCCATCCCAATAACCGTTAGGATAATACAATAGACAATAATGCAACATTGACTATCATATATACATAGTCGAACCAAAACACAGCACACATGGCCTGAAGATAGCGTTCAAGCATAAAACAGCCCTCAGTGTCTTTCGCATTCATTCTGTAGTCCGTTGTAACCACGAAATAGACTATTTGGCAAATTAAATTCTCATTAATCAATTTAACTTGTTTCCTGTCCTGGATTCACTGATTAATTTTAATGCTGCAGAGAATATTATTGTCTTTATTACATAGGATATATATATATATATATATATATATATATATATATATATATATATATAAGCTCTCCTTTGTAATAAAAAGAATCACTGATTTTATGGTCAAATATCAGTTGTTTGCGGAGTTCTCAATAGATCACTTTTACAAATCGTTCATGTTTACTTTGTACACTTTCTGAGTGAATTTGTCGCAATCACCTTTATAAATTTTTTTTTATTACTGTCTTTGCATCTCTACTTGGTGTGTGTGTGGGGGAGGGGGGGCTTACGGTCATATCACGTTAAAACATTTGTTCTCGCCTGATCACCGAAGCTAAGCCACGTTGAGCCTGGAAAATCATTATTATCTACAACAAATTCTTTCAATGCAAATTTCGGCTTTAAATAACTTAAAAAGGTCTGATAAGTCGTGAAAAATAAATCAAATCAAATCAATACGAGGAGTATCTGCTAAAATCTCCGGTGTTTTATGAACAGGCTGTGATAGATAGATAGATAGATAGATAGATAGATAGAGAGAGAGAGAGAGAGAGAGGAGAGAGGTCGGAGGGGGTGAAGAGTTTAACCATGTTAATGGTAATTGTAACAGATCTGTTACTTCTTTTATCTTTCAAAGATATTTCTGTACTTGTATGTGGAAATGATATTTGGCTATAAATATGATGCCAAATTATACGGCAAACAGAGAACAAAGAATACTTTTAGCGCGTTGCGAAGAGAAAGCAGCATATTTTTGTCTCCAGCTAATCATTTTTTGTGTTTTCCGTCAGCTAGAACCTAAATAGGATTCTTGTTGACTTCATCGGTATCTGTACGATTATTAGATTTTTGAGAAACTTTTTTTTTTCAATACGCTATTCACATCTAATTACCTGCGCTGGATCGAGAAAATTTTCAGCGTCGGTTTTTAAGCGGGTTTCAACCTCAACGGATTAAAAGGCCAATGACTGATTCTACTGTTTGTTTACAGTCAGTTATTAGAATGTCAGGTGTGTTAGGTGCCAAATGACATTAGGTTTCAACAGAGAATTACTCGAATATTTTTTCGTCTCTATACATTTTGAAGGAAATAATGTAAACAAGTGATAAGTTATTTTTTTTTATTGCAAAAGCTTGTAAACAGGTTTGAAAAAACCAGGTTAATTTACCTTATGATTACGCTAAAAAGTAAGGAAAATGATTATGAAAACGTTAATAATGAACGTTTCTTATAAAAAAAAAATGGCGTCTGATCGTAATGTAATGGCCAACCAACAAAACCATTATAGACTAAACCTGTAGCTTAAGGCCCAAACTATGTTACATATAGTAAATAATAATAATTCTTATGAATTTAAAATTTTAAAGAAGATTTATAATAAATTTATAATAAAATAAATAATAAATAAAAAATAAAATAAATTTATA